GTTGTATTTCGGTAATTACCAATACTGTTAATTTAGGGATGCTGTAGCATAACCCTTACATTGGGTGGTGGTTGTCATTGCAATTGTTGGCAATCTTTAACAAAACTTATAGATATATAAATAGATAGATATAGATAAATACACACACATATGTAACTGGCTTAGAGTCATTCAGTTCTTGATTTAAGGAGTTTTCATCTTCTCGGTTTCAAGTGATATCTTTCCTGTCTTTCACAGAGTTCTTCCCACAGATTTTCAATCATGTTTAAGTCAGTTGACGCTGACAACCACTTCAAAAGCTTCAGCTTGCATTTCTTGAGGTATTTTTGGTGGATTTTCTAGTCTGCTAGGGGTCATTGTCTTCTTGTGGGAGTTCCACTTTCTTTTCTGACATTGAAATCCATAATTTGTTGATACCTGGTCAACCCACAAAGTTCTCAAATTGCCAGGTAGCAAATAATGCCATTCTCTGGCCTCACTTATGAGTTACTTATGATCTGACAACTATTTTGTGAGTTCCCGACAAAAAAACCCAAAAAGGTTAAAGAAGAAAAGCTGATTTTCAAGGTCTGTCCACTGAAACATTTGCAAAAACGTCTTTTCAATGAAAAAATCACAAACTATATAATTTACCAGGGTTGGCTACCACTTACCACTCTAAGTTCCTTTCAAATCGAAATCATAAGCTGAAAGAGTGACTACTTTTTAGTTGTGTGTGCGCACCTGTGTGCTTTTAGCTTCAGCACCTCTTCATCACTTCAGCAGTGCCCCTCTGGCTATTGCTCTCAAAGTTACTTCTGACTCATTGTAACTTAACTGAATAGGCACTGAGGAGGAAGAAAAGCATGAAGGTTTATTTCTCAAACCGTCAATCTTTCACTGAACGCGGCAGCCTGATATGACCTTATAGCAAACATCCGCTGTTTCAAAAAGTCTATAGCTTATGGATTTCATGTCAAGAGAAAATATCTGATATTTATTCTAACATATCCTCACCCTTTAAATTGATTTACTGTCAAGCAAAAAAAAATTTCATATTCATGCTAATAAAAAGTCCATCTATTTATTGGTTTGTGTTGGCATTTTATTATTTTCATGCCACAGAGGAAGAGGGCCTTTCTCTGTACTCATCTTTTTCACTCGATCGACATTTGTTAAAGTTGCTGACTATGTACAGTTGCTTTTCCCCCTTCAGAAAGACTTCTGTCAGCCTCAGACCCCCTCCCAGAATAAAATCACTTTAAAACTTCATACAGCTGACCCTGAAGGTTAGGTTGAGGTTCATGGTGAGATGTTGCCGCTGAAGTTTCTGGATTATGATGATTGTGCTTGTTTAAACTCTGGGCCACGAGCTTGAGTAATGATTAGGACTGCACCAGCAGTGTTAGCCTGACAGATGGCAACACATGGAGTTAGCTGACAGCACTGCTGACAGCGCATTCACAGGAAGTCCCCATATTGCATGCACTGTACACAGTCTTTGTTGCTGTACATATTCTGATGTTTTTCTGCCATCAACTGTAGCTTGTTTCTACCTGTCAATGCCAAAGTCAGCTCACATCACCTATTCACAGACTTAAAATTGTAAGACCTCTGCACACGCCTGCTGTCAGTGCACCAGAGGGAATTGGGGTCTGTTGAAAATCTGCAGTTAGACATTATCCCAGTCACTGGTCATTCATCTAAAGCTTTCTTCTTTTATAAGTTCATCCTCGAGCAGTCGATACACTACTGTTTATTTGCTCTTCAATCAATCTACTTAAAAATCAGCTCTGTGGGCATGTTAATTAAATTCATTTCAGTTTAATTCAATTATATATATATCACCAAATCACAATAGTTGCCTCAAGCATGGGATATATCAGAATCTATATAAGTGCTATTGTTTTGCATCTGCAGCAATATGTAGTTGGTTTTAGGTCGGAGGTTGATGAAAGATGAGGCAGGCATAAAGCTGCTGGTCCCACTGCATTGGATAGGAATGAAGGAAGGAACCTAACTAGACACAAAGATGTGATCCTGTACTTCTGTTTTTTGGGTTGGTGTTGTTTATCAACTGGGAGAATAGTTTTTTTAAACTCCATCCAAATGCAGCCTCAGGGGAAACGCATGTAACCCCTCTGAATAGTTGTAATACTTGGCACTGTCACTTCATGACAGCTTCAAGCTCAAAGTCTGTGTGTGTGAAAGTGTGTGTGTGTGTGTGTGTGTGTACATATGTGCATATGGATAGGAGCATGGCAGTGATGTGATTGATGAGACATATAAGAGAGCAGAGCAAGATTTCTAGTCAATCAGCCCTGTGAATAACCACCTCGGCTGTGGATTAAAGGCAGAAAGCTGTCTGCACAAACAAAGGCTCACATCCATTACCTTACATGTAGAGTTGTTTTGCTCTCTGTGGCAACACTGACAACAAAATTAAAGTGTGTTAACAAAAATAGATCTATTTTTTCTCTTGAATTCAGGACATGAAACGTAGCAACATCTAACAACTAGGATGCTCGTGGAAAAAGAAAACTTGTGGGAGGTAAACACGAATGCTACCAAAGAGTGACCTTTGAAATATTTATAATTTTAACAACGAGTGCAAATTGAAATTGGACACATTTGAATTATATCGCATTATGTGTATTTAGTTTTCAATTGACAGAACAAAGAATAAACTGTAGCACCTCTGATCTCTGTCTTTACCTCTTTAAAAAGGAAGACATAAAGTCAGCCGAGGACTAGTTGCAAGCCGTTGGTTCCATACTTAGAGTTCTATATTGTAGCATTTAGCCAGCATGGGAAACAGGAGTGATGTGGCAGCCACTAATTAATATTAAATACCTCTGAGAAATGCACCAAATCCAATAACTGCTCCAAGACTGTAAATACTTATTCTTCCCAGACTGAATCCCCTCCAAATCATTTTCAATTTGACATTTTTTAGTGGGGTCCTGACACTTGATCAGTTTCTCAATCAATCAGCTGTTTGGCACTCATCTAATATGAATGGAGTCCTATTTTACAGGATTCTTGACAAAGAATAGCTAAAAGGTTTTTGGTTTTTAGGCAAACATGCAGTAAAAC